GGCCTCCTATGTACGTGATTTTGGGGCTTCCAAAAATGCATATGTTGGGCTGAATTTGTTGCATTTCAGTGCTTTTAAAAACACGTCTTTTAGGCTGAGTTGGCTGCTGTTTGAAACCTTTTGAAAATGCTTTCGTGGGCTGATTCGGGCTGCAGTTTTGCCCTGTTTAGGAGGGGTTTTGTTGGCTATTTTTAAGATGTATTTGACACGAAACCGGGCTGTTGTTTTGTCCTGTCTTAGTGATATGTTTGGGCTGCACCTGAAGCACACTTTAGAGATATGTTTGGGCTGCGAATTGAAGCTCTCTTTAATGGTGTTTGGGCTGCACTTGAAGCACTCTTTAGTGATATGTTTAGGCTGCATCTGAAGCACTCTTTAGCGATATGTGCTCTCTTTAGTGGTGTTTGGGCTGCACTTGAAGCACTCTTTATTGATATGTTTGGGCTGCAATTATAAGCTTTTTTCAATGTATTTGGGCTGCACTTTGAAGCTCTCTTTACTGATGTTTGGGTCATATTTTGAAGCTTTATTCGTTAAGGTTTAAGTTGCATTTTAAGACTTTATTTGTTAAGGCATAAGTTGTATTTTGAAGCCTTATTCGCCATTTTGAAGCTTTATTCGTTAAGGTTTAAGTTGCAATTTGAGACCTTATTCGTCAAGATTTAAGTTGCATTTTGAGGCTTTTATACATCAATTTGGGCACTTTTAAGTGCTAATTTTTGGAAGTTTTTAAGCACCTTTTGGGACTGATTCGATCACTGTTTTGAAAGAATTTAAACGGTTTTAAGCCGATTCACTTATGGTTTTGCACCTTGCTTAGCTATTTTTTTTTAGAAATGGGTCGGTCTCCTCCACTTATTTGGTTTTGTTTTCCTTTTTCTTGCCAAAGGTTAAGTTAAAAAATGAGAATTTCTGATTTAATTATTTTCAGAATTGATTTACGGTCTTAAAAAATAAAAAGAAAGATGAGGGAATTTAAAAAAAAAAGTTATATTTAGCCTGTTGAGATGATTGAAACCTAAAAGAGAAATAGGGTAGCAAATCATTCACCATTTCTTTTACATAAGAAGAAAAAAATTATAATTGTGAGAATTATTGAAAATTGGGAGAAAGTAAGAGCTTAAATGATTCAAGAGTTAGGAGCATGAATTGAAATATTAGTAGGATATCAATTAGGACTCTTAAGCATTGGATAGACTTAAGCCCAATTGTTTTAATTAGGATTGAAGCATATTTCACGAACTTTTTTGCCAAAATTATAGGTTTACCCCCTATGTCTTAAGAGTCTGATAGTAAGCTAAGTTTGATCTAAAGATGTTTGAGGATTAGTTGAAAAACACTTAATTGAAGACAAACACTTTAAAACACTTCAGGCTCAAGTTAAAGTGTAGCCTTCCTAGATTTTAGAAGCACATCCTAGGTAAAAGTTCATCTGTCTGATTTTCATATGGATGCTGAAGCTAGGCACCCCACCCTAATTCATAAGTTGGTTAAAGCAATAGACAAGGTATGCCTTAGGCTGTGGTTTATGACTGATTTAATTAAATCAAATAGTAAAATTCTCTTCATAAAGATGTAAAATAAAACCAATTAAATCAAATAGTAAAATTCTCTTCATAAAGATGTAAAATAAAACCCAATGCTCTGGGATTTGAACTTGAATCTTACACTCAAATCCTTGTGATAATTGAAGACATTCCCAATGTCACATATAAATCACCCACCCTTAGTCCTTTATATGTGACGTATTTTGTTTTATTTGTTTGTCTTTTTTCCTACGATTTGTTTCGAGTCTCTATGGGTCGATTTCAATTTTCCTCAGGGTTTTCCAAGCGCTACTCCGTCATTTATTCTGTTATACATAAACACATGTTTGTCCTGCTAGCTGAATTTCTCTACTATATTGTTACCTACGACATTCATCCAATTTACAGGTGCAGCAATAACAAGAAACTTAAGTACCCAAAATTTACAGTGTATTTATAGCACTTTACTGCATTTTTCTTATGCTATTTTTATTTACGGCACCTTATACTGTTTTCATTTACTGTTCTTCCTTATAACATAGTTTGTTTATGCATGTTTTAAGTTAACTACAGAACCTTTAGAATATAATATGATTTAGGAGATATACAACAGTAAGTCATCAAATAACAATATTGCACATTCACATATAAGACACTAAGACACTAAACTTGAAATAAACTTGAAACTACTACTACATGAGACATGGAGCAAGTCTTCGTGAGCAGCACGACCAGGATGTAGCGGACGAAGGATGACAATCTACAATAGTACAATAAGTTTACGACAACTAAACACTTTCCTTGGTTTAAATAACAACTAATAGGACTTCGAGGTAGTTTGTTTAGCGCAACGTGAATCCTCACATATTATTTTTAGGCTTTTGCACAACCCTGCTGTGCAAATATAAATCCTAACACGTTTAGGATTCAGAGGTTACCGTACGGTACGGTGTAAATCCTCCTATCTTTTGAGGCTATTTGCATGATCAGATATCGTGCAAATATAAGTCCTAAATTTTAAAAATAAATTGCAGGATTAAACATTGAATAACATCATTTCAAAGACATAAAACCAAATAATAGAATAGTTGGGAGGTCACCGGGGTTCTCCTCGGATTCGTGATATAACCCCTACTCTTCATTACTTTGGATTCCTTAAAATAATTATTCCTGTTTGAGCCACTCCCATTTGATTTTCCCGTGTCAAATCTTGGAAACTTAAACTTTAAAATCTTGAAGGCAGAACCACTGATCTTAATCGAGAGTTTTCTTAAGTGACCCCGGTCATTTAAGATGTTAATAACTATAGAGGATTGTCTCTATAGGGAACTTGAAACTTAGATAAAATAAACACTATCTAATCCTTATATTAGATAGAGAAATTTGTCTGTCATACATAAAAGATTTTGCAGATCAAACGGATGTCACAAACTCTTTAGTTTAGGTGGTTGAGTCTACTATCATGTGGAATACTTATTCTTCGGGATAGTGTATTATATGTCATATCGCATTCAGCCGTTCAAACTATTTAATATGTAAGACTCGTTTGGTCTCATCTATTTTCAAAATTAAAATATTACTTTCAAAAATCGAAAATCATCTATTTATATAAAAACTATTTTCATACTTATAATAATCATTCTTTCCAAAAAAAAAATAATAATAACGGCTGACACATTAATATATCATAGTAGCATATAATAAGTCTCATCTTAAATCTAAGTAATAGAATTCAAAATCACTCTTCTTGAAATTCCATTAAAAATCCATGCATGTCATCTATCACCACACCACATGTTTGAGCACAACACTTTAGTTTTCCCTGAGCATCTCCGTCTCAGTCAATAGATCCATCACCTTCTTTCCATCTAAATTCGAAATGCCAATCAAGGAATGCCTTCTCTTAGTGGCAGCAGTTATCGATGGGGTGCTGCTGCTCTTATGAGCATGTCACCAGTATTCAACATTTCATTTTTGGCTATATATTATTCAACATTTCATTTTGGCTATATATTATTCGCTTTTAATTTAGGTATCATTAAAGTACATTTTAAATGAAATCCATGTTTCTCTTAGCTAAGTATATGTCTCTGAAAGCTTTTCAAAGTTAGCTGCATTTCCTGAGAGTAGTCTCATATAAGTACTTACCAACTTTGAGAAAGTACTAATGAACTTCAGCTTGAAAAGAAAATGGCTACATTTCCGATCAAGTTGATTCAGCATACGTGTTTTTCATTTGCATATCAAACTCCATTAAGCTACCATTTATAAGAATTTTATGTCCTAGAAGTTTTATTTCATTTTTTTTACGGCCAATCAATCTTTATTATATTGATAAGTCAAATTTCAATCGTTTCAAAAGGTTTGACATTTTCTAACATCCAGCATTACTATGGATAACCTATTAATTTTTTTATAATAAAATGAAATCTAAAACAGAATTTTAAATTCACAAGGAGAATAGCTTTTTAGTTCAACATTGTAGGATTCTTAAGTATGTAATACATAAAATGGTTTAAAGCAATTAGACAAAACATTCGACATTCCAAAATCCAATTGAAAATTCAAATATGAATAAAATGAAAAATAAAAAAATAATAATAATATAATCCACTAACAGGTTGAATTTCAATGATTTAATTTTTTAAAATTTATGCGTTCAGATAGTCTTTTTTAAAAACATATATATTTAAATTTTTTAAATAGAAGTCAGACAACTTTAAATAAAGCAATATTTTAGAATATATTTTAAAATGAAATAGTTAACAAAACATCAGTTTGAATAGTACTATTAAATGCAAGTTTAACAAAAAAGATGAAAACTTTTAAAAAAATTATTGATCTTGTGCACCTAGGGCTACTGATAATAAAAGCAACAAAAACCAAAGATTACAGGTCAAAAGTTAGGAATAATCACTGTTTTTCTAACAATTAATTCATTAAAGTAAATATGAAACAACCAAAGAGTTATAACTCAGGAGGCATGTTCCCTAGTTCTAAGATGATGGTCACAAGTTCCAGTATGGCCTACGACCTCCTTTAAAAAATTTATAAAGCATTCTACCAAGTTGATTATGACTCACTTTTCACTGGAGCATAAAATCTTTTTATGAATTTACATATTATCTGATCATAAAATATTAATGCAGAAAAGTTATGATGCTAGAAGGATAGTGAATCTGGTTTTAGTCAAGAGATATTTTTCTTTCCTATCTAAGGAAAAGTCACCGATTTGAATTCCTTCAAACTAAAAAAAAAACAGAATGGCATCATGCTCATAGCACAAGAGAGCAATACAATGGTTTTTTTAATTATTATTATTAACATGGCAATAAGAACCATAATAATAATAATATTAGAGGTAATAAATGAACAGCCAGAACATAAGGCAGGACATACGATACCATGAAGAATTAAAAAAATATTTATTCAGTGAATGATTTCATAATTAACAGCTACAGTGGAAAGGAATACCTGTGTAGTCGTCGTCAATTGCACTGCAGAAATCCTGAATAACAATGAAATGAAAGATGGATGAAATAAAAACAAAAATGTTCTCTTAGGGAAAAAAAAAATTGCAAAAGCATATCAGCAGTCCAGTAATCAACAACATGAAAATTTGTTTCAGCAGTCAAAAGGCCTGGCGGGCATAAGACTAATCAAAGGTAAATTGCTAATATACATTTCTGTTTATTGGTCAACAAATTTATAAGTAAACAAAAACAAGCAAATCATCATCGGTTGTACACATCACCCATCCTGACTAACCAGGTTCTCATAACACAGAATTTTTGTGCCAAATATATTTAGTCATGCGTAATATTTTTAATTTTACACTTTCCTATATAATATAACTCATTTTTTGCCTACGTAATATGCCAATGAAGTGAGGTACAAAAGCATGTGACTTACACTTGAATCTCGTGCAGCATCAACATCCATATCAACAGGCAAATTGTCCGCATCCAAACCACCCTTAACATTGAAGTCCTGTACGGAACCATTTGTATCCATAGTTGAAGGAGCATGTTCTACACTGTTCGGAACACAAGCAACATTCTGCACTTCTACACCCATGGCATCAGTTACAAGCCTCTCCCCATCCCCCAAGCCTTCTGTAGCATAATGAGTGCCTACTTCAACATCAGGCCATTCAGTTTTCTCTACTTGCGACTCTATGTCACTGTCTGGTAGCACTTGACCTTGCACGCTGACAACTGCACCAGTATCACCAATGTTAGTGAATGTATGACTGAATTTTGCGTGTGTCGCATCCAGAACATTCCCAGTTTTCGCTTCCTCGTTAACAATTGCACCAGTCGAATCACATAAGTTTTTAGTCTTGATAGGACATTCCAAAATCACAGTTACAGTAGTGTTACCATCTACTCCAAGCAAGGTAGCGCAATCACCACGAGCCGAGGCATCATAAGGAGTATTTATAGAATTATGGCCACCATCATGCAGTGAACTCTCTGCTAGGTTGATGCTCTGATCCGCAGGTTTCTTGAAAGATGAAATACTACTGTTGATTTCTGAAATATGGTCTTGGATGATTGACTTACCACCTATATCATCATCAGGCTGCACTTTACAAATCATAGATTCCTGCTCATTGCTGAAAGGCCCCACTTCAGGCTGAACAGGTGGCTCTTCTAATTGATCATGTTGATTACACTGTGCACCGCCTTCAAGGGTTTGCAAGGTCTCAAATGCAGTCATGCTTGACGGAACATCACTCTTATCAACTACTCCAGGAAGAGATGAGATTCGTTCATCAATTTCATTCTTACTCATTTCATTAAGAAACTCTGAGATCCTATAAGGCCCCATCTCTCCTGATGTTTTAACACGAGAAGTATACTCCTTCGCCAGAGAACTTAAGTCCTTTTGCATGCCATATTTCAGATCATACAGACTATTTAGCTCCACTGCTATACCTGAAAACACAAGGACAAAATTAGATTTATCATTTGAAAAGCTTAAACATATCAAGTTAGCCAACACCATTCATTTTGGAAGTACATATAGGCAAACTATGAAAGCTGCAGAGTATACTCAAATCATCTTTAAGTTGCCTTTTAATTATGGCAGGTGGATATAAAAAACCTTTGAAATAGCATCGATAAGCTTAAACAATAAATATATTAACAAATAACAACTAATCTACCAATAGGAACCTTGGATTTCACCGTAAATCCTAAAATATAAAAAGGAAATATAAAAAACTTGCAGCAAAAAAAAATTTTGTTTGCCTTATATAACAAAAAATGCATCTTCAGCAATATCCAAAATTGACCAGGAAGTATCCCCATAATTTTAACGGCAATTTTTGTATCAAGTCTATAGCGCTAAAACAACCAATCTGAAAAGTTATTGCACTATTCTGACATGCTCAGAATCCATTTTCACAGTTACCTGAAGTGGTAATAATGAAAGGTTGCCAATTAAGTGGACTTATCCAATATGATGTTTATGATATAATTATACTGTACTTGCATAATATCCTTACCAGTTAATACAGAATGTTCAAAAATATCATCCTCCATTGCACCCATGTAAATTTTCCAAATTTCAGGTCGAGAGCAAGGAGCTTTTCTTCGCATACGGCGGATGTCTTCTGTGTTAATTAGTTGTTGACGAATAGCACTAAAAAAAAGAACCAAAAAAATTAGAAACAAAAAAAACAAGAATTAAAAGAAACAACTAACAGCTCAGTTAAAAAATTTCAACAACATTCATATGATGAATATTTGCTAAAAAGGCAAAACCAAATTACATTAAATATAATCGCATCAGTAAGAAATCCAACCAAGGATTGGGAATTTACCTAGCTTTCACAGCCATCCCAGGATGCATACCACATCACATACTCCGTAAAAGAACACAACCCAGACATCATTAGGAACACAGCAGCTAATCTAATCATAATAGTAATGATGGTGAAAGTGGACTCTTTTATGTAGTAACCAAAGATAAAATAAAATAAAAAAGTAAAAATAAAAACATATGTACAAGAAAGTCAAGAAGCCTTTCAAAGCCATTCTCACACGATGCCGGCCCCATCAAATTATCTGGACACCGTCAATAGTTAAGAAAAATCAGTATTTAAAGTTATATTTTAATTATTAGCTTTTCTCATGAACTACAATTCGATTGAAAATGCACATCGCAACAAAATTCAACAGATCTAACACAATAATACCTCAACTCGTTTATCTCTTCTCCCCAAATTTAGTCCATTTGAACATGTTAAAACATATTCCAACCAAAAAAAATACAAGGAAACTAATTTGGTATGAAAGGGGAGCATAATTCATAACATCATATAAGAAGCATGTCACCCCATCATCTCCTATATTCACAGACCAGGAACACACCCTAGAACCATGATTGATTAATTTAAAATATTATTTTAAGATTTTTTTCTCTAGTCAAGAATTCTTCTACTACCATCTCCAAAGGCTACATTACTTTCCATCTGAGATTTCTCATTCCTATTTCTCTCCATCTCCTTTTACGTGAGATGAAACAAACCTGAGGCAATTTTTTGACAGGGATGCATGGTTGACACCTGCCTATGCTTCAGAGCCTTATGCAGACCTCATGAAATCCTTCCAAGCCATCCAAGCCTTCCAAAATTATTGTCGATAGAGGATCTCCACGATCTACAAGCCCTCTTCAACTATGCATGGACTACAGGAGAGAAGAGGGGGGGAAGAGGTATGGTTTTCACTCTGATGATCATGTTGTAACTCGATGTTGACACTACAGAAAATAGTGTATCAGGCTTCCTAGGGAAGAGTTTATCCTCCAGATCACCCAAATTACAAAGCCAAAATAAAGCAACATTAGGCAATGAAAGATTTACGAACATGTAGAAATTCTTGCAGAGGAAAAATTACTCTATTCATAATCCACAAATAGGGTACATATTTATAAATAGAGAGAGAAAAAATCAATCCCTCCTAATTTAGAAATTTACCGAACATATCACACCTATATTAGGAAATGAAATAATCTAGAATAAAAATAGAAAAACATAAAATTGGAAGGAAATAAAATAAATCAAAGGATTCTTAAGATATCGTAATAAAATCCTCCAAGATTTGGACGTGATAGTTGGACCACATGAGAGAGGTCAACATGGAAAGAACCAAATCTTCTAAGAATTCCAAAACCCTTGAGCTCGGTCGTAGATGTCTTAGAGACTGAGCTTGCTATTGAATTCTGAGGTGTTCTAAGGAAGAGTGTTAGTATATTTCAGTACTGCAAATCACCTTCCCCTAACCCAGCACCTTGGTATATCACGAGATTAGTGTGCTGCTCTGAATTACTTCCAAGTAGTTTTTTCAGTACTTCAAACTGCTCCTTCGTGAATTGTTCAGCAAATCTTTTGAATGTAATATTAGTATTTTCCTTTTGATCTTTCTTTCTCTATTCAGGTTTCCAATATACAGGTTTTCCATGAAGTTTCGACATTTATCCTTGATATGCCCAATCTTCTTGCAATAGTCACATGTGGGACGATTCTTGTATCACGAGATTAGTGTGCTACTCTGAATTACTTCCAAGGAGTTTTTTCAGTACTTCAAACTGCTCCTTCGTGAATTGTTCAGCCAATCTTTTGAATGTAATATTAGTATTTTCCTTTTGATCTTTCTTTCTCTATTCAGGTTTCCAATATACAGGTTTTCCATGAAGTTTCGACATTTATCCTTGATATGCCTAATCTTCTTGCAATAGTCACATGTGGGACGATTCTTCATGTTTTGAGTCATACGAGAAATTTTGAGTATATAGAATCGAGATTTCAGTAGCATCAGCTTCTTTCTGCTCTCTTCTCTCCTGACTTCAGCAAATACTTCACGGGTAAATGGAAGGGGCATTGTTCACATAATATTAGCTCTCACCTCACAGTTCCAAAGTTAGTCCTAATAGAAATTTGAGGGTTCTCTTCTACTCAATATGGATTTAAACATCTCAACATCATGTGGGCATTTCCACACATGTATCCAATTATAGTCAATATTTTATCGAGATTTCGAAGTATAGGGTGACAGTTAGCTCTCATTGACGAAAGTCATGATGCTTAATTTCAATCTCAAACAACTTTGCAGTGCTTTCGATACTTGAATATGTTTCTTTTTCCTCACCAAAATTTTTAACAATATTGCAGAGCATAACTTTCCTCCCACTTCAGTAGTGGTTGAGTTGATTAACTAATACATAATCATATGATCTCAATTCTTCCATGTGCGGTTGTTAGGATCAGTGATGTCAGGAACTGTCTTCTCCCGTGAGACATGCATCTTTTCATTTACCACAATAATAAAAATCACTGATTGAAACCATTGAAGGTAATCAAGAACATTAAGTTTAAGATTTGTAATAAAGTTAGGGAGTCCAAAAGTCGTCGGAACAAAATTCATGGTCTCTGATTCAGAGTGGGCCTCCAGAGTAGGACTTGATGCCTTTATCCTGTACTTGGTTGTCGACCCTAAGAGTAATTAAGGTTACTTCTCATTGACTGTGGTTGTCTTTGACTACAGCTTTTGCAGGTAGGAGGAATGTTGTTTCAAAAAAGGAAACACTGCAGGAAAGCATACAAGGAAGTAGACAACCTGCAAGGAAATCTGCAGGGTACGACTTGCATGGAAAAGAAAGAACAATTGCGGGAAAATTTTGATAAAGGGCATCCAGCATTGAAAAGCTTGGGTGGAGGGTCTGCTGTAGGAAGACAGCTTACAGTGAGAATTCCAGAGGAGGGCCTGCAACAGGCATGCTTCTGATTGCAAATAGAATTATGGAGGGGCCTATAGCAAGGAGAATTTCTGGTGCAGGGAGAAGCTACAAAAAGGCCTACAGAGAGAAATCTAAACGAGGAAGTTTTAGGCGCCTATAGAGAATATTCCAGTGTTGATGGCACGGGGAGAAGCTCTATACGAGGGTCTGCTGCGGGTAAAAGCTCCGGCAGAAGGTTTGTTGCAAGGAAAGGTTGATAAGGAGCTTACAGGGAGGAATTCTAACAAAATGCAGGGAAGGGCTTCTACAAGGAATAAATCCGGACAATAAGAGACGTGCCAACAACTGAGAATTGTTGCAGGGACAGCAGAAGAATGCCGGAAGTAACATCCAGAAGGCTGGGTGGAGTAAGTTCCTGTGGTTGCTGCTCTGTTGTCAGAGGTGAGGATCGTTAGTTGTTAGGTGCAGGAAGAACAATGGCTAGCTGCTGCTGTCATTGTCATTTCTGCTTGCTGCAGCTTGTCACAGACTAACTTTCCTCAAGTCACCTGTGCGGCTTTAGCGCTCTTTCTTAGCACTAAATCAACCTCACCCTTGCAAAATTTGACTTTTAAGCACTAAGCACTCTTAAGAAGAAGAGTAGAGAGAAAGGAACACTTCACACTTGAATACTTGAATGCTTTGATTCAATGCTTGGGTGATTACAAATGAGGAGAGGGACTCATATTTATAGTCCCCTCCAAGCCTAATGACATATTCTAGAATACATTAAACTATATAGTTTCTAGAGAGTTCTACAGTCGTCTCTTATTACACACATAGCCCTAGAATATTTTAGGTTATTCTTAATTTCTCCTAGGAGCCTTTCTCTCTTATTTTCTATAGAATTGGGTGGAATCTTCTAGAACCCCCTGGATGGCTCCCTACATTTCAGCATTTTCTAGAATCTTCAGCCCCATGCCTGTCTTACCAACTTCTTGAATATAGCGGAGCGTGACACTCTCCCCCACTTAAACTCGCAATGCCCTCATTGCGGCTTCCCTTGCACCTTTGAAACTGTCTTCTCGGTTCGCCCCTAGTCTTGGCAAACTTTGTTTTCTCTTTGGTGTTATGGGAGAGGGGTGTCATGCAGCAAGTCTTCCTGGTTGGCGGCTTAGCCTTTGCCTGCAACCTTGTTCCAATCGTGTTGAACCATCTTTCTTCTTTCTTGGTGGAATCTCCACCACTTTCCTTGGCATCCAATCTCCTTGGGCCTTTTCTCCTTCATTGATATCTTGAAGGATAGCCAAGTTATCCCCCTTGTCCTGGTCAATGCCATCCTTAAGCTAGATCGCCGATAGCATTTTGGATCCTTGCTTGTTTAACCTTATTATCGGTATTGAGAAAGCTTGACTTCTTTTCTTGATGCATAAGCTATTGGCAAATGGCATTGGGAATGCTCTTGCTTGCTCCAAGAAGTTCATTCCTAGGACAATTTTGTAATCATTCAAAGGAATGACGAAGAAGTCTAGAGTACCTGACCATGCTCCAATGTTGGTCTTGATTTCCTTAGCCACTCCGTCGACTGGCATCTCTGCTGAGTTAACGACTTTAATGGAGCCCCATCGTTTAGTCATCTACAACCTCAATCTCTTTGCTTCCTCACTAGAGATCAAGTTGTGGGCAGCACCGTATCCACCATAGCTCTCGTGGTCTTCCCTTCTATTACCATCTCCACAAAGAGTAACCCCTTGCCTTGGGATTTTGTCAAAGCTTGCATTCCGTTCAACAGTTGAAGAGATCCTACATGTACCTCCATGTCATTTTCCCTATCACTTTCTTTTTCCTCCTTATGGATTGCAAGAAGAGAGTTGAGGGCTTTCTTCTGAGGGCAATCCCTTGCCCAATGAGGTCCTTCACAAAGAAAGCAGCAATTTTGATATGGCTTGTTGTTAATCTTCTCATTGTCCCTTACCTTTGTTGGAGTTGATTCGCGACATTTCTCCTCCTTGTTTTTGCCCTTGTCATCCCCACCTTTGACATCACAACTCTTCTTATCTTTAAGCTTTCTGGACTCCATTGAATAATCAACCAAGCTTTCAGCAACCGCAATGGCAGTGGCAAGATCTTGCACCCCTCGCCTCCTAAGCTCGGTCTTTGCCCAATGTTGGAGCCCATCCATGAAGTTAAAGTGTGCTTATCTGATATATCTGGGATTTCAAGAACCAAGTTTGTAAACTCCTTGATATAGTCTCAAATCAAACCCTCTTGCTTAAGCCTTCGCAGCCAGGCTCGAGCCTCATTTTTGGCATTCTCGGGATAGAATTCTCTTTAGTTCTCACTTGAAGACATTAAAAGTGGACATGGAGCACAAACATTTCTCTACATCTCATTTCTTCTCCACCAAAGCATAGCGATGTCCGAGAGATAAAGAGAGGCAAATTGTATTTTTGCATCTTCATTGGTAATCCTCATCGCTCCAAAGTATTGCCCTAGTCCCCATAGGAAGTTGTCTACTTCCTTCGCGTTGCGAACCCTTCCAAAACTCATAGGTTTTGGAACTTCAGTCCTCTTGGCTTCGAAAGTGGGATGGCTTGTGGATGCCTCTAGTGCTCTCTTGCACAGTGAAATGTCTCCACGCATCTCCTCCAAGCTAGCACGCGTGTCTCTCATCTCTTCCTCATAGGCTCTTCGCACCTCTTGAAGCTTCCCCAACAAATCCTCCTGCAACTTAGCCATATGGCCCATTAAGGTCTCCTCAAGTTGGAGCATCATACCTCTGATTGTTGAATGGATGGAGACGTCCTCCTCGAGTCCATCAACCCTTTGGCCAAGATCCTCTACTGGGCCCTTCATGCCATTCATTGCCTCCTCCATCCGAGCAAGGCGTGAATCAAAGTCATGCATGATCTCCTTAAACTTCCCATGTGGCTTGGGTGCAACGGGATCTCTTTGCTCTTGGCGACCTCGCCCTTGAGAAGACTCCACATTAGTGGCTTCCAACTCCATCACGTACTCCTTGACACTCTTTGTCATTTCTTCGAACCTGGTTTCTGATACCAACTGTTACAGACCAACTTTCCTCAAGTCACCCGTGCGGCTTTAGCGTTCTTTCTTAACACTAAAACAGCCTCACCCTTGCAACACTGGACTTTTAAACATCAATCACTCTTAAGAAGAGGAGTAGAGAGAAAGGAACACTTCACACTTGAATACTTGCATGCTTTGATTCAATGCTTGGGTGATTACAAATGAGGGAAGGGACTCTATAGTCCCCTCCAAGCCTAATGGAATATTCTAGAATGCATTAAACTTCTATAGTTTCTAGTATGAATTATAAACGAATCAAACTTAGGAGTCAAACAATAAATTTAGTGTAAGTGAACCATGATTCACTAATTCAAACTTTACTAGCTAATGAGCTCGCAAGTCAAGTTTATCAAGACGTGGACTTGATTGAGAGCAAATTCAAGCTCATCAAGACAAAGTTCAATGGCTTCCACGCCTACTCGATATGAATGGAGCTGGCTAGAGGCATTCACAACTTGAGAGCTTATTTCTTCTTCAGTTGGTTTAATCAATACCTTCTCCAAAGAACTCCCTCTATGACTTCCTCATCACAAGTGTGTCAGTTGCTTCTCTACCAAGCTCCCTCAGTGACTTCCTCGCCACTAGTATGGTTGATGCATTTTCCAAAAAGCTTCATTCAAACCTTCTCAACTGCTACGTTCATTAGCGCAGTATATTGAATTTTAGATCTGCACATGTTTAGCGTGTTTATATATATATGTATATATATATATACATACATGCATGCATACATGCATGCATACATGCATCCATACATACATGTGAGAATAATACCCAGTGTATGATTGGTCTAAATATAGTAAAATTTGTGATAGGAAGAAAGATATAATTTTAAGAGTCGTGGATGGATGGTTAAAATAATAAGTGCCTAAAATATATCATGCAATAATAAGCTATCATGGTGACTAAAAAGTAAATTTTATAGACTACAACTAAGTCAAAATTGAGTGCTGGGCTAAAAATAGTTGATAGCTAGATTGCGCGCAGCAGATATGAAAGTGTTAAAATACATATGTAAAAAATACTAGAATAAATCAAGGAAAGAATATATTAAGTGTTATAATGGTATCTATTATAAATAAGATTGTTAAAATTTATGTTGTTTGAACTTTGGACATATAACAAAAAGTAGAAAATGTACCCATGATACATGTAAATATACCTATTGACCAAAAATAAAAATGAATATAAGTTGTTCAAAACATTTACCAACAATAAATTCAACACAAGCAAACATGAATAAAACAAAATTAAGAATTCATGTACCAACCCCAACAAGTCGAGAAAAAATGATGATGATGATGATGAAGATCAATTTGAACACAATTCAATACTACTCATGTAAATAAACATGTAAGCATTTGACATAACATTTCATATTAATTGATGACAAATTTAAGTTTTGTGAATAATTATTAATATAATAATCATTCATCTCGAATGAACGTAGAACACTTATATAAATGCAACAAAAATGAGTAAATATTTTTGTGAGACATTATAGATGTGGTGAGCATCAACTTTTGAATGCAGGAGACATACTCAGCATGTAAGACCATAGAATCATCTATCAGCACCTTCCTTCTCTTATGCATGCCTACCCTGGACATCGTGCGGGGCCGTTTTAGAGATGGAACTTTAGAAAGTGAAGGGATGGAGCCAGTTTCCAAAGATGGAGCCGTCTTTCCAACTGAGCAACCAGCCATATGGTTAATACAAATAATGAATGGAGTTACCTTGGACTATCACATGTAGAGTATAAATTCAGAAACTTAGACATTCTATAAGGAAATAGAACACTAATCTAACAGATTTGCATACCCAAAATAGATGCCAATACATCATCATTAGCAGAAATATAGTCTGCATTTCTTCTGCTTCTCGGTATTCCAGATAATTTGGCAGAACTTCCAGATTGCAGTGTTGCAGTGCTATCCATTTCACGTCGCTTTCTGCTGTATTGACTGTTATTTCTATCAAAACTTCCATCAGATTCTGCTACTCCCTTCTCTGTGACTTGCAGACCTTGAAAAACTGGAATATCGACAACAAAACTGGAAGCTAACATCTTCTCAGGTCCTAGAAATTCAGAACTGGGAGAAACGTTTGAATAATTCACATGTGTTACTTTCGAAAAAACACCCATTGATGATTCATCCACCTTACTGCTGATATAGTTGAAATCAGAGGATGTGCATCTTGACATATTCTGGGACTTCATACTAGTAACTCTGTTATTGGTATCACGCAAATCTTCACCTGACAAAACAAAATATCACATTTCTCCCAATAAAGAGTAGAATTTGCATGACATTCAAGATGACTAATTGCTTATAATATTCAAGCTTCCTAGTTCCATAATTTTAAGAATGTAATGAACACTCGTGAGTCGAACAAACCTTGCACCTCAAATGAGGATCTGAAATTGTGTAGATCGTCCTCCCTCAATGAAGTTTTCAAACTGAAAGAACGATCCCTGAGAGACAACTCAGCTGCTTCTCCCAAAGCCCCAGCCACTGACAGAGAACTAGATTGATGCAGATTTGAACCACAAGGTTTTGAAGCAAAATCAGATCCAACCACAGATGTACTGACGCAAGAATCACCATCTTCTACAGAACCTATGTTGGCAATTTGTGATGGCTCATTACTATCTCTTTTCTGCGTCCTTTTCACATTCGAAATACTTCCTGCCACATCCATGTTATCTGTGCATATACTGGAAGGAAAAGGATGTGCTTCAAAACGTCCTGGCAGGTTAGGAGGGGGTGTCGAATTAATTGCTTCATAAGAAAAACCTGAAGAACCACCCAGCTTAACAGAGGGTTTCATTTTGGTTGCTTCTAGAGAAAAACCTGATGGACTGCCATGCAAGAAAATTGAATGCAGATTTGAACCATGAGATCTTGAAATGAAATCAGATCCAACCAAAGAAGTGCCCACAGAAGTACTGATGCAAGAATCACCATCTTCCACACGATTTAGGTTGGCAATTTGTGATGGCTCATTACTATTCCTTATTTGTGGCATACCTCCTAATGCATCCATGTTATCATTACAAATGTTGGAAGTAACAGTCCCTGCTTCATGATGTGCTTCCAGCTTAAAAGGGGGTGCCAGATTAACTGCTTCACGAGAAGAACTCACAGGGTCACCATGAAAGAATATTGGACGCAGATTTGAACCATAAGATCTTGAAAGAAAATCAGATCCAATCATGGATGAATTGATGCAAGAATCACCATCTTCCACATGACCGTGGTTGACAATTTGTGCCGGTTTATTACAATCCTTTTTTTGTGACTTTTTTACATGCGAAATACCTCCCGCTACATCCAAGTTATCTGTGCAAATATTAGAAGTAACATGCTCTGTTTCAAAACGTGCTGCAAGCTTAGGAGAGGGTGTTGGATTAATTACTTCATGAAGAAATAATGAAGGATCACTATGAAAGACGCCTGTATGCAGATTTGAACCACAAGAACTTGAAAGAAAATCAGATCCAACTACAGACGTAGTAACACAAGAATCAACATCTTCTACACGACCAACGTTGGCAACTTTTGATGGCTCATTACTATCCTGTTTTTGTGTCCTTTTCACATCTGAAATACCTCCTAATACATTCATATTATCTGTACAAACAATGGAAATAACAGAATCATCTTCAAAATGTGAAACCAAATTAGGGGCGGATGACAAAATAAATGCATCTTGAGAAAAACCTGAAGTATTTATAGCCTTCTCATTCTCAAGCCTGCGATTAGCTGTTGATATATTACTGACTTCATTGCTAGTTAACATACTATGCTGATATTCAGGCCCTAAAACTAAACAAGCCTCATCAGTTCTTAGATTCCAATTTGAATAAGTAGGTGCTAGAGATTCGGGCATTGGCAATCCTTGAGCAGTATCACCTGCCTTACAGCCTAATTCTGCACTTAAAAAAACAGTTTTCTTTCCTGATTCAGCGGATTCACGCTCCATGCAAGGACTACTACAACTCCCAGGCTTGTATGATTCAACATGTGTCTCAGCTTTTTTCTGGGGACTCGAAGCCAGAACTTCTTGAAAATTGGACGGAGCAACTTCTAACAAGCCAGGAGTTGATTGTTCTTGCGCATGTTCAACCAAACGTGGGGTTATAACTGCATTTTGGGTGCAAGGAATTTGTGTTGATAAATCTGTATGACACTCAAGTCGAAATACTTCATTAAGGTCTGGAGTTTGTGTGGTATAACTGTGTCGATGAGAAGAATTTGGATCCCTTCTCAATTCCTCCACATTTGAAAAACAGTTCTTGTCAAAATTATTAGAAAGAAGCTCTGACAATTCATTTGGGATTTCACTACCTTTTTCCTCATCATATCCAAATTGTACATCCATTCCCATGCTTGTTGAAGGAACAGAAGTTTCTACATGTAAACCACTGCAGAAAAATAGTTGCAATAGATCAAGCACATAAAAAAAAATTATAGCAAGGCATCAAAGAAATAATCTCATTTGAATAAGTGAAACCTCAAAGTGTGTAGATCAAGAAGCTTATGAGATAGCACACAAGCATCAATGGAGAGACCTAACCCTTACAGGAGTCTATAAGCCGTAACAACTCATCTGCTATGGCTAAGCATATATAAAATACAAGCTTAAAGGATATAGAATGAGCAAACTTACCTAGTTTTCAAACTCATTGAAGCCTCATTATGTTGCGGTGAGATTTTTTTGTCTACAAATAGTTCCTGAAAGAAAAAAAGAAAAAATTGAAGACATTTGTCAAAGTAAGATCCAACGTGCAGGTAGCAAACTGCGCGAAAAAGTTGTCTACAATTAATGTTACTGATACAACATGACCATAAAGGCCATCAATAAGGTCACAAACCAAAGCCATGCATCAAAATTTGAGTTACTCATCTTGCAAAATTTTCAAAGCAAGAATATGAACGCCCATAATCCCTCTAAAATCATCCGACAATAATTAAGGAGTTTAATGTGATATTCTTCAATGAATGGCTCTTCCACAACAATAAAGAAGACAAAAGTCGTCATAAATTGCTTAATTTTAAGACTACTCTACCTACTTTTATATATTTTTTTTTATTTCATTCTCTTTGCATTAGGAGAAACGATCAATCCATGTAATGGTATTTTATTGGCTCTAAAGACCTTCCAAATTTTTCTAACCTTAAATAAGTCCTACAAATAAAGCATTGTTTTAAACTTAATTCATGGAATAAAAATTATCTTTTACTCTTGCAAATTTCATGTGAAAAGGCTAGCCGAATTCTCTACTCTTTGGTGAAGTTTAGTAGCAGAACCCATAAGGATTTGTTGAGTTTTTAGTTATCTTTTCCAACTTCTGCTCCTAGTCATCTTTTCAAATTTTACACCTTGCTGCCAACATAATTGCCCTCGCATCCACATAAAGACCATGTCAACCCTAAATCATTACCTTCACCAATCCCAAGTCAAACTTCTAAAACCTTTAGAACTATCCTACACACTCTCCCACAATCCCTAAAGCTTCTAAAGTCCTCGAATTCCCATTAAACTAAATATATTCTAGCCAGAAAATCTAATTCAGCAGAACAATAATCTACTATAAGCAACTTAATTTAAAAACTCGTAACTCTTTAATCACTGATCCAAAAAACATAAAACCACCACAATTAGTTCCCTATCTCAAACCTTTGATCAGGAGTTCCACACCATTTCCTCCAGGAAAAACATAACATTTCAAGGCCTAATAATTTCATCAATAATCTGTCCATACTCGAAATACAATTTCTTTCACAACCTTTATAACCCCTCCTCCATCACCACCCCAAAAAGAGATCAATCATGCTGTGGTCTTACCATCAAAATCTTATAGACCCTACATCAATTAAAATTTTCAAATTACTCTTAGATTAAGACATAACCTTCAAATAGAGAGAGCAAAAAGCTTCTAATTCATTAAGCTTACAGAAGGTTTTCTTTACAGGTTTTTATTCGAAATGCCAAGGACCTCCAAGCACCCCTAGCAACAACAAGAAAAATTAGGATTTGCATAAAGTGTTTCTACACAACATTTGTGAGATATTTAGTTGGGATAATGCTAATGAAGATGATGATTTGAGAGAAACCATTAAAAGAGAATATAAAAAAAATTCGATAAAAAAAAAAACACAAGCACAATAGTCTTTACCTCATCAAGCTCCAACCCTATTTGAGGCGCATCCTCATCACCAAACCTCTCTGGACAAATAAAAATCATAGCTAATAATTGGTAGAATAAAAAATATACATCATTCAAAATAATGCTGTGCCCAAGGAACTGACCATCTAACCCAAACTTTGTTGTTGGGTATGCAGTGTCATTTACTGTATCTTGAAGAGTTATCTGCTCTCTGGTGCTAACATGATGGTCCACAAAATTACTGCAAAGAAAAATATAAAGTTATCTAAATTAGAGTGTATTTACATCCAGTATTTTGGAAGGCAAGTAAAAGAAGAGAATAAAGAGCACAAGGAAAAATTTTAAAAAGTTACAGTTAATGCCAAATATGAAACTTTAAACAAACTCTGCATGAGAGCAGATATCAAAGCTGACCTGTCAAGGCAGGCACTGTCAGGAAGCTCAAAATTGTCGAGGTCAAAATTTTCTGGCAAGGTAATTGAATTATATGGTGCAGTTGATTCTTCGGGTGGAAGATCAACTGCTGTTGAGCGAAATGCATGTTTTATCTTGATCAAAGCTTCACTACAGTCATTGAAAAGATAGTTCACCTTTTTTGAGTATATCCGCACCACACCAAGTAGAAGGTGACTAGACAGCCGCAGTGCAATTGGTGCATCAGGAAAAAGAATAGAATCTGCAATACATCATCCAGACCAACATTTAAATAAGACATGAAGAAAGCATAAGATCTTTTAAACATATAGAGATCTGTAATACATAAACACTGCTATATTAAATATGAATTTTTTTCATTAGTGGATACAATGCTTCAGAAAACATAAACTATACGACAAGATGTTTGTTGATGCTACCTTATGAAGATCATTATTTTTTGCAGAGATGAACTGCCTCATAAAAACCATCCTAGAGATAAGGTTTTGATACTACTAAGCTACTGTACATGCTTATTCACACATCAGCAGAAGGTTCTATGTAAAAGTCATCACAAAAGAAATAGCATTGAAATTTATAATATCTACAAACTAGACAGTTGAGTTTCAAAACGCCTACAGAGAAAATTTTAAAAAAGGAATAATAAGAAACAAAAAATTAAAATTCAGTTGAAATCGTTACTTCAAACTCAATCCCTAAAAAATGAAGACTCCAAGCACATGCAAAAACCACAAAAACAAACAGATTGAAGAGCCAACACATAAAGGCCATAAGCATTAAACGAATATGAGCAGAGAGAACTGAGTCTACCATGAAACCATTACTAAAAAATTTAAAGCACACAAACTGCAATTACTATTGCTTTCTTCCCACATTTATTCGTCATCACCATCGTTACCCCTATCCCAACTATTTTGGGGTCTGCTAATATAAATGTTCATTTTATATTGCACATGTTGAGTGTTGAGGTCATACTTGTCAATGACAAATGGCGCACCATGACATAAAGCACTACATAGAGCCATAGCATATTTCACATGGCGTGCCGTCGCAATTTTAAATATGGCATAAAATATTTAAAAAAAACATTAAAAAATCAGATAAATATGAATGAATATTAAATCAAGAGAAAAAAATGATATAATAATAAAAACAGTGTAAGTGCCACATACATTCAAATGATCAATGCCTTAATTGTTTAAAATTCAATATAGTATGGTAGTCTAATATTTTTATAAGCAATAAAACCGATGATCCAAAAAATTATCGTCATCATCATAAGTCATACAAACCTTATTTCCTTCATCAACATCATTATAACCTCATAAAACATCATCTTCACTATCATCTTCAACAAGAGAACGATGCCCAATATCATACAAACGACACAATACATACACACACATATTGTGATTTACGAGCATTCAAAAATTCTTATATATTTACAAATTCAACATGTAAAGTTAATATTAACATATATAAAATTTTTTGTCATAATCATATTAAAATTTATATATGTATATGTGTGAGTGTGAGTGTGGGAGAGGGGAAAGGGGAGAGGGGGGTGATATTAGCTCAAAGATCATTAATCGCTCGAAGGATGAGATGAATTTTGGTTCAGATCGAAATAAATGAGCCAAGTTATGAGGAAAAATTTTGGATCAAATTTTTTTTGAATCGATTTTGAGCCGACCCCAACTCAGCTTGAAATTGAATCGCTAACAACATATGACTGTGAATTTTAGCTCAGAGATTTAATCGCTCAAAAATTGATTAGAATTTTCTCTCAGATCGAAATAAAAAAACTAAGCTATGAGCCAAAATTTTAGATCAAATTTTTTTCAAGCAGATTTTGAGTCAAACCTAGTTGGCTCAATATCAGATTGTTAACA